GCGCACGACACATGTCGTGGCGCAACCTTGCATGGGGCGCACGCAGCTTTATAAGCCATGTAGCAGCTGGGGCATGTCAGAACCGGAAATCGAAACGTCCCCCAGGCGTTCATCACTTGTTCAGTACCCCCCCCCCAAAAAAAAAATCAGCTGCTTATGCGAAATACTGTAAGTTATGGTACTTAGTCAGCTGTGTATAATGTGTTGCATATCACACAACTATGACTCACCAATTTCTCGACGGGCTTTTTCTCTGAAAAGGAAGCGAAACATTAATGCAAGGACTCCTTTCGCAGCCACTTCCGCACATGCATGCTTTGAGGAGTGTTTTGAGATGGCTAATTTTCACATGGAAAAATGATCTGATAATCCTCCCTTCAATGCCCTGAAATGACAGACCCCGGCCAATAATTTAAATCAATTTACCGTTGACGGTCAGCTGGCAGGAAGACTCGGAAGGCCCCGAAACTCGCTCCGGGCGACCCACCTTATACAGGCCCGACGACTGCTTCTTGACGACGACAGCGACAATGCGCCACGTTCTGGCCGTCGAAGCTCATGAACACATCTGGCGTCTCTCGCAGGATGATGGCCGTTCCTGGAGGACAGGAACAAATCGTATTAGCTTCGTGCGGTTTGGTGTGCTTTCTTAAGTGCGCTGAAAATATCTGTTAACCAATTGGGACAGACAGATCGGCGCAAATCACGGCTTCCTTCTACAGCATCTATACGAAACTTGACCCACCCAAGGTATCGACCAGCACGTTGGACCGCCAGCTGACTTGACTCTACGTCAGATACCTCCGTCCGAAACCATGCAACCACACTTGACAGGTCGGCGGCCTCCTCCGACGCAGGTTGCGACTCACCTGTACCAGATGATCTCCGTAGACATGTCCAGCTTGGCGAGCTTGCACGCGAAGTCCGCCGACTGGCCCTCCTCGACCGTCACCGGCTTTAGCTGGGCGGCGAACTGGGGTCGCTCGCCTTTTGGCTTGGGCTTCTCCTCCTCGAAGACCTCAGAGACAGTGACCGGCTGCGACTTGACCTCGCCCTTCTCGTTGCGAGCCACCAGCTGGTACTCGCCGCGGTCAGCCGCCGAGGCACCGTTGATCTCCAGTTTGACCGCATACTCGCCCTGTGGCAACACCGAGGCTCCTTCAGAGGACTTGAGTGTGCATGGATAAAATATGCGAGGTGTCCGGGTGGCTGAGATGGGGAAGGAGTTCGGCTCAGATGGCCAGGGAGATAAGGAGACAGGCTCAGATGGCTAATGTGGGGAAGGTGGTAGGCTCAGGCGGCCAGGAGGGATAAGGAACGGGCTCAGGTGGCTGAGATGGGGAAGGATGTAGGCTCGGGTGGTCCAGGCGGACTGCTTTCATTCAGCAAGACATCAGGATGTCATGCAATTGGTAACAAGACTTATTGACTGACTTCCCGCCTGGCACAGGTGCGTCCACCGACCCGTGGCGCCGGGAACATGCCGACCATGAGCGTGCCACTGAGACGTCCGCCGGGACAGACCTGGGAGACCTGCTCGACAATGACCGAGCGCCGGGAGTCGCCGGTGACCTGCCGCATTTGGTGCAGCCACTGCACGTTCGGCCGGTTCACGCAGGTGATGCGCGACTCGATGATGACGACACGACGCTCCCGGATCACGATCACCCGTGGCTGCTGACGCATCTCCGGCACCACTGTCGGCAGAGACAGGTGTTATCTCCGGCACCACTGTCGGCAGAGACAGGTGTTATCTCCGGCACCACTGTCGGCAGGGACAGGTGTTATCTCCGGCACCACTGTCGGGAGAGACAGCTGTCAACTCCAGGAGCACTGCCGGGGTGACAGGTGTTATGTCCGGCCCAATGTCGGAGGGCACATGTTTTATCTCTGCCACCACTGTCGGAGGAGCATAGGTGTTATTTCCGGCGTCCGCGTCGAAGGAAACAGGTGTAATCCCGGCAACAATGTCGGAAGGGGCCGGTTTTACCTCCGGCCCCACTGTGGCAGGGGGCAGGAGCTATTTCCGGCACCGCTATCGTAAGCACGACGTTAAGAAATGCTCAAACCCGTGCACTGGCGGCAGAGTTTTACAAGCCGTTATTCTGGTGTTGTCGGGAATTGTAAATGGCCCGAATATTATTACCCCTGGCACGATTGTAAGAGAGCCACGAATTGAAACTGCCACAATTGTGCCTCCTCTCCACCTCTTCGGTGAATGGCTGATGCTCAAAAATGTAATGCATCGCAAACTCGCGAATATGTCGACGCGTAACGCTGTGCAACACTAAAACCAAGAACACAGAATGTTAACACTCACGTTCAGTCACGATACTCCGCCGAGACACACACACACACACACACACACACACACACCACACACACAACACACACACACACACAACACACACACACACACCACACCACACACACACACACACACACACACACACACACACACACACACACACACACACACACACACCACACACACACACACACACAACACACCACACACACCCACACACACACGAACGTCACGTACATACCAACAATCACAAACAAACGTTTGTCACCGGTCCCGAAGCATTTATCAAAGGCACAGTAGCAGCCAGCTCAGTACGACGCAGAGGCACACTGACCTTCAATGTTGAGCGTCAGATTAGCATTTATCTCGCCGGCCTCATTCTTGACGCTGCACTTATACAGCCCGGCATCCTCCGGCCGCGGCTCCTGCAGCGAAGAAGTACACGGTTACTCCCGAACGATGCGGATGGCTTCACTAGCACACAGTCAAGGCTGCTCAGCCTGCGTTGTGGCCATCGCAGCGAGCATGGAACCTGATGATCACGTGCTTACACTCTTTCATTTGGTCTGAAGATGGTGTCACTCGCGGCCAGTAAGCACACCGACACTTCTTCGCATACTTTGTTTTAATTAGTTTTTTTCGATCACCGGTATCTTAATGAAGCGTCCTGTTATCTGTTAAAAAATAGCAGCTGCAAGGAACTTACAGCGATTTTGGGTAGCTCCTCTACTTTTCAATAAGGGTGCAAGCTGCCATCTTGGGGACGCTTAAAAACCCACGAATGACTGTCCTTTTTCGTAAAATGTGTGCATTCTCTGCAGCGGAGTGGAATATCACCAGTCGTAACAAGGCAGCTTAATTCATGTATAACACCCACATTGTGCAAATAATTGTTTTAATGAGAATGCATCATTATAGACATTCGTCTATGATATGAGGTTTCATGTTTAGGTATGAGGCTTCATAATTGATAAACTGGGGCCACTTGTTTGTGTACTACCGTGATAATGAAACACATTGTTGGTACTCATCGGGAATGAAAGTGTCACCGCTGATACAAACGCCGTTTAGCTAAGTGACCTGTACACAGTTTCCTCTGAATGGGTCGGAGGTGATGGACAAATTAGAATGGAGGTTTGCAGCATCACGATTGAATCAAATGTTATCATGAATCAGTACTGGACTAAGTTGAGGCTCTTATTTAAGGGTTAACAGCGGAGCGCCAACATGCCAAGCCAGATTTGCTCAAAGCTGCAATCTTCGTTCAGACATGTGAATCATCAATATCATCACAGCGCGACATCACAGATTGCGCGGTGGAGGCGCCTCCGCTGTCTCCAGCGCAAGCCCGCGCCGCGTCCAAGCATGACCAGCGCGCCGCACCGACGTCACCCCGCAGCATTGCCGGTGCCTCCCCGCAGAAGCGGAGCGCGAAAGCAGGCAGATGATCAGCAGGCGGCGCCGGCGCCGCCCGGCCGTACCGGTATCCGCAGGTTCAGCGTGAAGATGCTGGCCTTCTCCTGCTGTGTGATCTGCGTGCGGTTGGAGTGGCGCACGGCGCGCTGGCCGTGCCACCAGGAGGCGGTGACGGTGCGCTCGGAGCGCACGCGGACCTCCATCACCACGGCCCTCGGCGGCTCGGAGCGGATGGCCGGCGGGCCGACGAACACCGGCGGCTTGGCGGGCGGCGCCGGCGGCTCTGGCTCTGGCTCGATGTTGAGCGCTAGGTTGGCGTGGCTCTCGCCCGAATTCGTTCTTGGCCGTGCAGCGGTACTTGCCGCCGTCGGCCGCCGTCGGGTCCTGGCCGACCACGGCGGCGTCACAGGGGTACGGCACGACACAGCACCCGGGCGCCTGGACACGTGCACGGATCACCCGCGCCAGGACGGTCGGTATGCATGCATTGTACAGACTTCACGCACATCTATGCGTTTAAAGCAGGCTCGATCCTACTCTCGGATGCAACAAAAATTGTGCATGTTCGTTCATATCACATGTCTGTATCATCCACCTGTAGGCGTGTACATCAAAACTGTGAGTAACGTACAATACAATTTGTGTAGGACGCAGTTAAGACGATCAACGTGTACATCGACATCAGACATAAAAATTTGCTTTATTGTTAAGAAGCTGGTTCTATAAAAATAGCCATTGATTACTAAACCACCGTACAACACACCATATCTCGGCAAACGCGCAACGATCACAACACTCAGGCATGGTAGTCACCTTCCCCGGCTCAAAACCTGCCCTTCACACCAGTAGCCAGGCTCGGCGATCTCAGAGCGGGCACCCACCTTCAGCTCCAGCACGACCTCGTACTCGCCGTCCTTGAGTGGCGTCGTGCGCATGCTAATGCGGGAAGAGGCGCGCACCACCTCGGTGGCCTTGTGCCAGGTGATGTCGAGCTTCGAAGAGGAGCGCACGCGACACTTCATCGTGATGAGCGAACCCGATTCGTTCGATGTGATCTTCGGTTTGTCGGTGAAAGACGGGGCCTTGCCCGCCGGGGCCTTGTCAGGGCTCCTCGCTAGCTGCGGGAGGGCGGCAGCCACCGTCACCATACGCTGGCCACGCCAGTCACAACGGACGCAACTGCATCGAAATGCGTGCGGACACACAGGGCCCCAGGAAGAAGGAAACGTACCAGCAATATGCACTCACCCCAATGGGCGCAGCCCTTGATGGCACACGCAAGCGACGCTTGGGTAGATCATCGAGAGGTTATTCATCGCGCTGCTAATGCATTCCAAAATGACCTCACACACGATGACCTCCTTAACCTCCCTTTGTATGCTCTCGGCTCCCAATGTTAAAGATATCTGTCTCTCATGGTGACAAGCCGTGAAAGGCAAAACTGCCATTTTTAAGTTGGCCCAGCATTGGTGGGCAATCGGTCAGTTTTCTGACTCACCTTGGAAGTTGAGCGCTATGTTGGCGTTGCTCTCCCCAATCTTATTGCGGGCGTTACAACGATAATTGCCACCGTCCTCTTGGGTCGGTGAAGACACAGTCAAAGTGAGCAAATACGTATCCTTGCTAGTCTCCTGAAACAGCCGAAAAGTGCGTTCCAACCTGCTGGAACCGACCGCAGGCACACCACACCGCAGACAGAAAGCTCGTAGTTCTAATTCCTGAGAGACTACCACCTCCAAGGAGCCGATTCTTTTTAAGCCCCCGGGGTTTTCTTTGGATCCGAGCTTCTGAAAGTTTGCACGACCCAGAGGTGCATTGGGTATGCAAATAAGTCCGATCGCCCTGCATTTAAGCTAAGCAGTACAAACACGGAGTGTCCTTTGGCAGCGCTGCGACCTGAGTTCCCACAGAAGTAGTCATTGAAGGATCATTGGTTCTAGGGATGTGAAACCGTGCAACAGTGTGGCTGACATGAAGAGGAGCTGGTTTTGATCAAGCTGGCCATATATCCAGTACTCTAAAGCTTCCTTTCCAATCGTGATGCAAGTTAACACACACCAATTTCCAAAGGTGATACAAGTTAACGCACACATCTGCAACACACCCAGAAGATGCGTCAGTGCCCGGAGATAGTCTGCTGACCATGTCCCTACACCAGTGATCCCTCGACACCGCTTCCCGCCGACCATCCCACCATTCAAGCCAACATTCCCTCACTTCACTTCCGCACACTGCGCCGGCCCGAAGGACGGCTTCGAACACGTGATCCATCCGCACTTTGTCGTGCTGAACCCCGCTCGATTCACCCGACCCAGGTGGCTGACCTTGCTAGCTATCCGAAGGCGCGAGGAGGCCGTGACAACCTTGGTGCCGTGGTACCACGTAATGACGGGCATGGGGTTGGCCTCCATCACGCAGGCCATCACCAGATCGTCGCCCTCCTGCCGGATAGTTGGCTTCTTCGGGAAGCGCGGAGCACCGCCGCTGGGCTCTCTGCCGGGCGGCGAAACGAAGGCTGTTACCGACTGTCAGCACTGCACAGGGCACCAACACCTCTGCTCGTGTTCGTGTCCATAATACGCTAGCATGGTAAAAAGGTTTGCCCAGGTTCGAATATATCTACACACTCACACACACAATATATATATATATATATATATATATATATATATATATATATATATATATATGTGTGTGTGTGTGTGTGTGTGTGTGTGTGTGTGTGTCTGTATATAAACATTCATCTGTGTCTGACACAACCAGACATAACGATAATAGTAAGTAATGATAATAATAATAGCAATCGGCAAATCCCAAAACTAATTCTAACATCGCAGAGTCCAGGGCGGGATATACTGACAGATCAATTGACAAATAAATCAGGCCTTTCAGAGACCCAGCGAATGCTGAAGAAAACGTGCAAGCAACAGTTCTGCCACTTGCAATGTTTTTCCTCGCCTTGCAGCCTTGAGTCGCAATAGTGTGCTACATTTGCAACTTCACAACGCATAACGGAGCTAAAGGCATACATTTAGGGTTGTGATATTGGGGAAGTTTGCAAGAACCAGGATTAGGTTCTGAAATACAAAACTTTGGAATGGTTGAAGTTTTTCTCTAATCAACTTATAATTCAATTTATTGGTCCGTGATAAATGAAATCTAATTTAATCCGTCCCACCGGACAGCCCGTGATGAACGGCTGCCAACTTCCTGCTGATCTCGTGGCAGATGTGCATGTATGCATCTTTCCAGCTAGCCAACAAGCACAGCTGCAAGCCGGATGTCTTACTTGGCTTCCTCCTCGTCTCCAGCGATGTTGAGATTGATGCTCGCCGAGCCCTCTCCGTTCTTATTCTTGGCAACAGCCTTGTATTCCCCTCCGTCGGACGCCTGGATGCCGAAGATTTGCAACGATGCCTTGTACTTCAGCTTGCTCTCCGTAGTGATGCTCATTTTGTGTCTACTGCTTTCTTTAATCAATGTGGATTTGTGATACCTGAAAGGTATTGGCGTATTGATACCCACACCAGACAAGTGCAGCAGTTTGGGTAACCGACGTATAACATGCTTTTGCGATTGGACTATCCTATGGTGTAGGGCCGGTGTGCATGCACTCTTCGCAGCAACAAATATCCTGGCATTAGTTGTATACTATCGTATAAATGAACGTTTCGGTTATGTGCATGATATTACAAGCTGCGACGATAAAAGAGGCTGTCGGTGATACGCCGATTTCTGTTTACGCCGCTGGCATGGACGCCATTGCCATTTCTTGTCGTATAGTGCCGCTTGAAGCTGCTGGCGACAATTTTGGTCGCAGAAATGCGGCCGGCGACAGACAATACATTTTTACCACCCCTGCCTCTCACCGCCATAACGGACATTGCAAACAGTGCACCTATTCCCCGAACAGTCCCCTGATCAGTGTCCCTGCCCCTTCCCACTACGGCGGCGCTGAAAGGACGACACCCGTCCCCCGTCACTGCACCGGCCACCGCCGTCGACGCGTCCATCGCTCTGCCATCAGAGCGAGAGACGGCGCCACCGCCATCGTCGCTCTGCCATCGGAGCGAGCGACAGCGCCACCGCCATCGTCGCTCTGCCATCAGAGCGAGCGACAGCGCCACCGCCATTGTCGCTCTGCCATCGGGGCAAGCGACAGCGCCACCGCCATCGTCGCCATGCCATCGGAGCGAGCGGCAGCGCCGCCGCACGCCCTGACCAGCGCCGCCGCCGGCGCCGCTCTGCCATCGGAGCGAGCGGCAGCGCCACCGCCCACCCTGGTCAGCGCCGCCGCCGGCGTCGCACTCACCACTGCATCGAGGGCTGCGGGTCAGCAGTCAGCCGACACTCGAACGTCACGGACGAGCCGTCCGCCGCCTGCCGGATGACCGGCTTCTCCGTGAAGGAGGGCCGCCCCACATTCTCTTGCTGCGCTGGCGGCTCCTCGGCTGGGGAAGGGGAGGGAGTCAGCGTCAGCGGCGGCGCTAGGGGCGTCCAGACGGCCCGAGGAGCGTCACCGGAGATGCGTCATCCTCGGCTGGGAGGGGGTCAGCGTCAGCGGCGGCGCTAGGGGCGTCCAGACGGCCCGAGGAGCGTCACCGGAGACGCGTCATCCGCCATTGACGCGGACCGTGTGATAAGTCGAACCCCACGGTCGCTGTTAGAGAGCGTCCTCAGAGGGGCCATCAGCAGGGGTCATCGTTGGATATCAACAGCAAGCCCAAGCATCATCACCAGGTATCATCAAAAACTCAATGCGGTATTCGCACATCTCACCAGAGCACACTATCGTAGTGCACTATCAGTGAACACATCCGGCAGGTGTCACTAGCAGACGTGAGTAGCAGACATCATCAAACGTTGTCAGTGCACGTTACCGCACACGTCATCAGTGTGACGGCGATAGTTCAGATCTGCGTCGGAGAAATCAGAGACACTGAGTTCGATTCCCCGCGGTGGCTTCCGTTCCTGTCAGGTTGAGAGGCAAGCGATGCCGCAAAGCCTTAACAGCTAGTTGCATCGTAGAGTCGGCAGCGGCACGTCAATGATACACGGAAATAGCAGGTGTCACGCCCTGATCATTATCAGAAACGGTGGCACGAAGGCCCAGTTAGAGCAACATCAGCGTCTGAAAGCTGAACAGGGACCTCCAGCACAGAGGTCATCATGGCGGCCGTCTCAGGAAGCCACCACCGAGTTCGCGCCTTGTTCACATGTGACGCTCACTGACACCCCGCCGGTATTCTTCGGGTCGGCGGACACACGCCCGCAGCGTGGCTTGCTACTTGCAGCGTGTCTTTAAAGCGGTGGCCAAAGCAGCTGTAGCACACATGCGTATGACATCAGAAGGCGGAGCTCTGCGTTGTTCGCCACATGCATCACGTACAGTGAATGGACGTACAACAAACAGTGAACGTGGCGTACGACACTTAGATATGCTGCACGTGAAACATCCATGCGACTCTCATCCACCGCTCCGGGACATCGGCCATCAGATGGCCGATGTGTAGTTATGTACCACAGATTCTGTGGTACATAACTACACGGTGAACTACAGATGCCTTGGGAAAAGCGCGCATTTCCACGCCAATAAAGGGGCGTATAAAAAGTAAGGCGTATAAAAAGTATTAGCACAAGAACAGTGTCGCCTAGTGAAAGGCTGAACAGGCTGTGTGCTTGTCATCAGAAAACTTGGTAAAACGCTGTAGAGATAAGCCTACGTCCTTTAAAACGAGAAGCTCTGTACACCCTCAATAACTGCTAAAACTTCGCTATGAACAAGTTCATGGCAGATTTAACACGTGTCCGGCTGGCCGGCTGGATACCATTCACTCGGGTGGAGGTCAATTTGACCCCCACCCGGCACCAAATTTACAGGGTGTATTGACCTGTACGTGAACTCACTTAAGTCAAGGTTTCAGGTTCCTAGCACACGACCTTTGGGTCAAATAAGGTCAGTCGATATCAACTTCCAGGCTGGTCTCCAAAGTGCCCCCAGAACTTAGATAACAGCGGTCACATGTTCATTTAAGGTCAGTTACCTTGTTTGACTTTTAGTGGGGCATGGTGACCAAAATCATACAGGACTGCTCTGAGTTTCGCATTTGAATAAATGACAAATATTGCGCTAGGCAGCATGTTCTTAAAAAATGTTGACCTGGGTCATTTTAGGTCCATGACCTAGTATAACCTCTAAGAAGTCCATGGAAGATGTAAAATGCGGTTTCTGCTATCAATAACTTGGAAATGAGCACCAGAAACTATCACATACCCTATACCCTAGGGTGATAAAATGGATTGGTTTTGGCCTTGGTTTGACCTTCATACCTGACCTTAGGTCAACCTAATTTGCTTATTCAATTGTTGAGTCGCCTTAGAAAGCATTTCAGGAATGTATGGCTTCGTCTAACACTCTGTTATTGCATAATATTGAACGATCCCTTAAAAACTGACTTCGCTGAAACCATGGCCTGGCTTCGGCTTGTCATAAGTCAGCGACCTTCCAAATAACGTGTAAATTGCTGACACCAAATGATCCGTTATTCAATTGTCTATAGCTATGCAAAAAGTTGGCCCAGCTACGCCGCGCCGTTCGGAAATCATTCTGGAAAAACGTTTGAAGGGTCAATTTTACTCCCACCCGAGCGCGTGTTAAGCTACATCACTTGCCATAAAATGTTGAAGTGCCACTTCACACTATGTTACAGCCAATGCACACATTAAAGGTCTGTTCGAATGACAGGTAAAATGATGATTAGCCACGCAACTAAGGGATATTTGCCTCTGCTTTGTATGGCACATGAGATGAGGCTTAGACGCTCACAGTGAGTATCCCAGCATATATCTACCTTACACTACTAGAAAGGCCAGTTTCGACAAAAGTTACCGCAGGGCAACATCTGTCGAGACAGGCTCTTAGAGGCGTTTGTCAGTTTAAAAGGCTATCGGCTATCAACACTGTGTGTAGTTCTCCCCCTCTCCAACGCACACACACGCTACTAAGGGGAATAAACACGCGCAGCAGGCGACGGAGTGGTGCGTGACCGGAGCAAAGCCTGAACTGCTTTGCTTATTTTACATAGTTACACCAGGCATTCAGACGCAGACAGGAGGATAAACATCGAGCCTGGCTTATCTGCGTCAAATGTGACTTGTCTCTTCGATCGCCCAGAAATGGCTACGGCCGTGTAATATATAAGACGCACTTCCCGCTCAAAACAACGAGGCAAAAACACGATAAAACATTATTTTACGAGATGGGCTGTAGAAAGAGCGGGTCTTAGCATCAACTAACCCGTTTTTTTAGCTTTGGTGGTTCCTGCCCGCCTTGGCCCACCCCGCTTTTGCTGAGCTTATATCTTAGCAACCCCTGATCGGAACGTCGGGAGGCTTCCAGCAAGAAATAACGCAATCATCTTAAAGTGTGTTGACATTTTTTCAACGCCATTAAAAACGAGCTGTTAGAACACAAGGCCCACACCTTAGCCGTCCATGAAGATGCTGGGGATACCCAATCCTATCCATCCGTCAACTATCGACATCCGACTTGACCATCGACAGTACCCCATCCCAGACGATGCACGCATCCCATGGTGTCGAAAAGTGCAGCCCCATCCTTTTGTTTGCATCAGCTTTGTTACCACACTGCCCCCGCGGTTCATAACCTTTTTATCAATTCCCACACCCTGTACTGTCTCTCGGTCTTGGAGCCGCAGCGTGTCGCCTGAGCAGTGTGCAAGGGGTGATCAGCGTTAAAGCCAGGATCGTTACCGAGGCTGGTCGGCGAGATTCCATGGTGGCGACTCTCCAAGCGTTGAGTTGGGGTGCTGTGAGGGATCTTGTCACCCGAAGTGACATCCTTGCTGTGTTCAGGGTCTTATATGAGTCTCGGCCTCCGGTGGCGGTGCAGCCACTGTCCACCCCACGTACCGCTGTATGCCGGTGTGCCATCAGGGCGGAATCGGCGGGCGCCCTTGGGCTGTCAGATTTTCGAACCACTGCACTGCATGTCAAACCCACAGACCACTTATTGAGGAACTAGACGGTGCACTTGGTGTTACGTGATGTGTTTTAAAACAATCATGTTTATATTTTTGACGAAAAAGTGTACGAGCGAATGCATGATCAAAAGTGTGCGAATGGGGTCACGTTGTTGGAATTTATATATATATATATATATATATATATATATATATATATATGATAGAATGAACTTAAATGAAAACAAGAGCCAGCAGTGTGCTTCCGCAATGCTGCAATATCACCATAATTTAATCTCCCTTTCGAATGACATGGGAAACGTAGGATTGTCAAATTACGGAAAAGCAGATGAACACGGGTGGGAAACAGGTCGAGATCTCAGCGACCAGACTTCGCAGCGACATGAGGTAAAATCATACTGACAGAGGAGAAAACGTGCAACTTCACAGGACAATTTATGTCGATCTGTGCAGACTTGCACGCACAATCGTGCACAAAGCCGCCCACACTGTGCAATTCTTTAATATTCTTATTAGATATCAGCCAGCAGGGCAGGCAGAGAGGTCTGGTTTTACATTTATTTTTATTATTTGCATTCATTTTATTATTTAGCATTGATATGGTACAGTCGGGACGCAGGAACGCAGGAACGCTAAACATCATTGCACCAGCGCCTGCAGACTCGATGGAAGGACATTCCAATGGACAGGTAACTCCTGTCCTCATGGGCTCCCAAAAACAACGGACTACATCCGCTCATGTCTAGATATGACGTGCATGGTGATTCTCGTCTGCTGCCGATCCCTCGTCCCACGCCGGACAAGCCGCCATACCAGCAAAACTTCGAACCTCCAACCTATCCTGCCCCGCCGCCCCACCCTGCCGCGCCGCCTGTGCAGTCACCGCAGGGTCCAAAGGCAGGGGGCAGCCGCTGTCGATACATCGGTCATGCGGTGGGTGTTCCAGCTCCACAGACGGCTCCTGGGGCCCCACACAAGGCCCGTGCTTACGGTTGAGTCACGCCTTCCAGCTACTCCATGGGGCGTGTGTTTGTTTGAACACATTCAGGATGTTGCTGTTGAGAAATGCAGCACGTTTATTGGAGGCATGTGCAAAGAATAACACGCCATGGCTAAAGGCACACTGAATAATCTTATCCGCCTGATTAACTGTAAGCCCCGGAGGAATAGTTTCATAAACTAGCATGCTGGCGGAGATATCGCTTGCTCAGCACAATATTGAACTATCCAAGTCAACGCAAATGTTTGCGAAGCGGTTTGATACCACTGAAAAGCCTTCGAATGCTTATTTGAAGGTGCTTAATAAACTGACAAAATCTAATAGGTTTTCAATGACTCACAAGAGAAGCCTGGCGCTATCGCAGCATTCCTGCTGATGCGAGTAATGCTTTGAAAGTCAACATAGTGTGATCTCAATGTCGAATGTAGCACTGCCCGCAAGCCTGGTGAAAGGGAAACCGCCGGCAGAAAAATATGTGAATGCAACCGAAACTTTTGCAGCTGCTTCAACAGCTGCATGGCACATGGCATTTACCTTTCCTGAAAGTCAAAGCAAATGTTTAATATTATGGCGTTCTAGCCATCCATAAAAAGCTTCTTTTTGCGAGCTGCCTTTGCCAAATTACACCCATGCATGCACTAATTTTCCGTTTGAATAGCAAACTTGAGTTTTGAGGTGTCGAAGTACATGAATTCAAGTTCAAAGTTCTCTAGTGAATTAGTGTCGTGCGGCTATATAATAGGTCCAGATACTATGTCATACTGACCTACAGCGCACCAAGAAGGATTGGGTTGGCAATTCTGAGCTCTGTTGCGAGCCAGCGCGCCAGTTCAGGGCCCAACTATTGCTGCAGTTCAAGTTCCGGGCTCCGTTCGAACAATCAGCGCACGCAATGCCTATTAGATCTTAGGTGGTCTAGGCAGGCCGTCTCAAATAGACATTTTTCTCATTTGAGGCATGAGTGAAGGCGCACGAAACATCTTGTCAATGTTATGCTTACAGCTGCGTTAGGCGAGTGTATGTATGTCAAACAGGCATCCGCCAGTCAGATACCCTGTGGGGAGCGGAAGGAGTGAAGTGATCAAATGCGGTGATACAGTCATGTGGATGGTATGAAAGCTTAAAAAAGGCACGCACTTTACTAAATCCGCAAATAGAGATCTCCAAAGTATTGCAATATCGATCTTTCAAGAGTAAGAAGTACACTTACTCAACGTTCGCAAACCTTTTTAGTACTAGCTTTCTTTACAGGGCGAAAAGGTAAGCCATCTCAATGCATCAATTTTGACTAAAACAACAGGCTCGGCCAGTATGTTTGGCCTGCCGTATCAGTAACTAAATTGACGTATTAGTAGCTAAATAAACTGACATATTAGTAACTAAATTGACGTATACTTAACTGACGCACACATATTTATGTAGCTTTCGTGGACCAGTATATTTCAGTTTAGGCAGCAGCAGAGTGCAGTCAATATCTGTTTTCCAAAACGACGCTGGCTGTTTGGTGAATCACTAGCGCTGATTTCGCTCGGTGACTTGTAAACGGTACCATGGGTGACAGGCCTATCCTTGACTGGTGCTTGAGCACGTATAACTGGCTGTGCAGGTCGGCTCAGACCACCGCCATTACGGTACTTCGCCCCTTATCACACGGGGTCAGTCTCACGTCACTGCAACGTCGGGTCGGCGATATCCGGGCCCCGTCACACGATGTCAGTGTCAGATTAATGTGACGCCGGCTCGGCGATGTTTAGGCCGGTCCCGACACATGCTCTCCGGCTTCTTCGCAGCCGTCAAACTTAATGGTTCTGTCTCGGTCGGCAGGCGAGGCTAAGTTTTATCACCCTATCATGCTGCAAGAAAACCACGCATGACCAATTGCAGTCGGGTGCGACTGTCTTCAAATTCACCCTTGTAAACAACTTTCAAGGATGACAGTTGTTGAGAAACTCTGCTTACAGATGTGATCATTGGTTCCAAGGGTCCCAGTTTTTATTAAAGATTCCAGTTATTCAAAGATCCTGTTTTTAAGCAGGAATAACAACCGGGCAGGTCGTGGGAGGTTCACTGCAGCTGAAATTGTTCCTACCGTTCAAGTAAAACCCACTCGGCATACGACATCGTCGTAGCTTTTTTCCGGAAATAGCATCGAAATGAACTGAAGTAGCAACAAAAACAATATCTGTGGGCCATGTTAGGTCTCGCATTGCATAACCAAGCTGGAATGCTTGTGACTGCCGCCTAGATTCTTGTCGTGTTTGCCCTCCCAGGACTCTGCCCGGGCTCGGCCCCGGTCATAAACGTCTCCGGGCAGCGTGACCATGCCGCGTGCCAAGCATGCCTTCCTTGGAATGCTTGGCACGCGGCGATGTGACGTACATTGCGCATATGTTGGCAGGTGAAGCATGTGAGCACTCTGTGCTTCCAGACAATATGCCCATGTTTTGGGCCACACCAGCATGGGCATAAGTCATGACTGCCAGCTCTAAGGCTGTGATTCTCGCTTCGAGTGGCTTTCATCTCATGATCCTATATGTGCATGGACAGCATCAGAGTGCAGTGTCGGCTCGACACCAGGCTACGTTTACGTGACAAAACGTTTCATATTTGAGAGCGTCTGGATGGGAAATCTGAATGACATATGGGTCAAAAACCTACAGTGGTTTCAGAGCAAAACCAGAAATTCGGGCACGCTACCACACATTACATATTTCCAGAACATGCGTCGAATAATCCTTTCAGGGAACCTCAAAACTTTTCGATGACTTGCAGTATCAGGTGTCCATGCGTTCTACTTGTTAATCTTTGAACAAGATGGATGAACACCAGTTTGAAACGCGCTGCGCAAGACGACGTGCAGCCGCATCGAGCCGCACGTGCGCGACAGCCATTGGGCATTCAGAATGCAAAGGAATGTTCTGGCAACGAGGCATACCCACAGAACTCATACACACAATGAAGCCATTCCACGGTCACATTTAGAATGAGATCGGGCGGCCGACCATTTAAGGGGAAAGACTGCGACGATATAAATGTGAGTCGTGCATCTTAATGGAATGTGTGAGACCGCTGCGCAAAAGCAACGGGTCTTAGGGGGCCAGATTGTTGCAACTATAGAATCGTCGCTGCTGCCAGAGGGACCCAAGAGTAGAAGGTGGCATGGCCCACTTTCCATTCCATTGGCTGCACCCTCGTATACGCCTATTCATGATAATGCACAGGTAAAATAACTTATGTGTCAGTATGGACAAGGTTTTTCAGACTCGCTTTATCCGAACTAACCAAATCATTCAGCGGATCACAACGGAATGGACTACCTGAATTTGACATAATTTCAAACCAAATCTGACAAATCGAGTTTTTTACTACGCGAGAACAGTGATGTATAATATCTCTGTCGACAGTGCGCACGTAAAAAGTGGAATGAGTGCCCCCCCCCCCCCCCCCAATAGATTTGTACTGTGTACGCCAGATCTTTTCATCTGGTGGTTCCCATTGTGTGAAGTGGTTATTGACTGATGTCCGTAGCTTTTATCCACGCCTTACCAGGCCGAGATTGATAAGATAAAATGATGAGAATGTTGCCAAATTAACCGACGTCACGAGCATAGCCAAACCATGAGCCAAACCCAGGTAACTGTTGAATGGCGATAAAAATGTCATTTTTAACTTTTTGAATTTTTTGCAGGGGTCAATAAGGGTCAAGGTCACTTCAGGTCAAGTTTTGATAATTATTCAGTGACAACTTTCCCAGCAACAACAAACGCCATTGTCGTCTACAGGGTCGTACGCAAGATCTCACCAGGTGTTAGGTGTTAGGTGTTAAGCAAAGGTGTTATGCCTTATGCCGAGCAAAGGTGTTATGCCGCCGCTTATAAACGATAGTGCGCCCAACACGTCACAAATTATAAATTTGTAGACAGGTCGGTGTCAGGGGCTCAAAACGATGTAGCGTTATTATTGTTCAGGACCAACTCCTAGCGCTCCACCTTACTCGGGGCCTGCAAAAAACCATATGTATTTGCAGTGATGAGGCACACTTTTGGTGCATTTGGGAAGTTGCGCGCGCGATTAGGGTGGAGGCGACAAAATGCGTTGATTAACACGCGGTTCCAACCCCAAAGGTTTCATGCACATCACGCATATCAAGGCATGCACGAAACGATGCGATTCGTCAGCAGCAGGGTGCCCACGCTCGCGTACTTACTGTTAAAGTTAAGGCCAATTGTCGCATTGCTCTCGCCAAGTTCGTTTTTGGCGATGACCTTGTACTTGCCAGCATCATCGACTGTGGCGTCACGAATTTCCAACGTGGCGGAATAGGATTTTCCATCCTTCTCCACCTTCATCTGTGGACAAGGGACGAGACAAGACAGTTAAGTGTAGCTCAGTGGACCCGTCGGTTATGTGTGAAACACATCATCTTTCCTTCCACCGCAAAATGCGATTTCAACTGTGCCATACAAAGGCAAAGTCGTAAACTCTGACACTTCCGAATCTTTGCCCGACTCTGTTGATCGGGAAGGCTGAGGCTCTTCTCGGCTTTGTCCGCGTTACTCAGGAAATACACGGAACTGTGAAAAAGTTATCTTTAACCGTTCTCCACAAAAGGATGTTGGTCACTTTTTAATGATTTCATTTGGTGCACCATATAGATCCAGCCAATGTAAGAAACCTCTCCTTGTCATTCCGTTGTGTTCGCTCGCGATCCGTTGCAAATGGCTATCGTACATACATTTTGTGTGCGGCAAATAACACCTTCCTTGAAGAGACCAACTACGTGAACACACATGAAACTGACTTCCAATAGCCAATCATCTCGAACCTAATATGACTTAGGGCCTCAATGGCAGGCGAAAGCATATGCCCTACATTTAAGCACCAAGTGGTATCAAGTATACCTCAAGCGACTTGACTTCGATGTTTTACTGCCGGTCATAGGCCTGGTTCACATAACTGACTTTGGTTCCCACTGATCGCTTGTTAAAAATGCGGCACTGGTTCTTGTTTTCGTTATTTCTGTCCTAAGCATCCCCGTATCTTCTGGATTGAAATAAATGTTTTAACCAATCCCAGAACGGGGTTTCTGATTTTCACAGGCTCCTTCCAAATACCAGCAATTCCTTGCTCCAATTATTCTTTAACAAATAACAGATCTTGTTTTCGGGTTCTCATTGCTTCTTTCACAAACATCAAACCATGGTTTCCATTTTCCAGAAACACCAGAGCCTGGTTCTAAGTTGCCATTCACTCCCACACAAATATCACATTCTGCTTCCGGATTGGCCCATTCGCAAACACCAAGTTAACTTATCACATAGCGGTCATTGTCCATTGAACATAAGTCCCTTCTGAATTCAAAACTATCAGGTTCCGATTGTGTAACCAATGCCTTCAGGTGTCGCATGATATACGAAAAGGTTCTTTCATGGTGAAACTTAAAAATAAGGTCATAAGACAATAATGATATCTGAAGAAATTCAGCCCAAACTGTCTGATTTTCTGCCGTCAGCGCCCAGCGTCGTGAGGCGTTCGGCGCTGTTTTGTAGCGATGGGAGGCTATGTCATGCAATGGCGTGTTTCTATCGAGCGTCGTCATTTCAACGCATTGTCCAAACCAAATCGTGCAGGAGTGCATTTATGGGCTGCATTTTCGTTTTAGGTCAACATGTTGGACGTCAGGAACCTGCAGGAGGAGCCCCAAAAGGTTCTGTACGTTACCCATTCCTCATCATCTCATTGATTTCGTACTGTCAAATTTGAGGCAGCGTTATTTGTACATAAATGTTTCATTTACCGAATATGAGACAAATATCTTCAAAGCTACCAGCCATTGATAGAAGTCCTCGATTTTCAGTTATATCCTGCCAGAGGCACCTAACTGCATGATCTATTAACACGCGTCGTGAGGATGGGCATGGGTTCATGACACAAGTTGCAGACGAAATCCTGGTTCCTGCTAGCTTACTTGATATCGCTATTTACTGGATTTGAGTTCTTATATTAGATCGTTTGCATTCATCAGGCGAGATTTTGCTTCTTTTTTTCCTTTTTTATTTTTTAATTTTTATAAATAAAGCCTTCTTTATTTGTATTTTTTAAAGGCTGTGCTTTGGTTCCTGCCGGATCTCCTGGCAGATTCTTTGATGGACTCTGCCTCATGCTGGATCCACGTGAATATTCCAGGCTCTATCTTGGTTGTTGTCGGATCCTTCGGTTCAGTGCTGGCCTGAACCAGGAACACGATCTCAGAGAAAAACTGATGAATCAGGCACAGGCCTGATTCACGGACACTTTACTGGTTTGCTGCCAACAGGCAGACAACGTCCAAGGCCTTATATGGCAAAGACAGTATTTGCGTAACTTTACGTAACCATCTTTATGCCACTATTTTTTCATTATTCTTTATATAGCTGTCTTTGCGTAAATATCCGGCATTCGGTCTCTGGGTCGTGACCCAAGTTTGGATCGTTTGACTTCTCTAGTTGGGTTATGGAGACTCGAAGAAAAATGAGTCATCTTAACAATAGAAAAAAGCAATTATGTGAATGATCAACACGATGCATGCTTCAATGCATTATCCTCCCCCTCCACCTCTCCACGAAATGGGTCTGGGCACGAAGTGAGTTGACGCTGCTTCCTGGCCAGAAGTAGGCTAAAAACCACCTCGCATGACACTTAATGATGGTTCTTGGATGCTGAACTGTCACGAAAGACAGACAGCACAATGGACTGATATGACCCATTTATATGGTTTTCCAAAACCAATTGGCCCTATTCACTTACGTTTAGGCATCGCCTGCGTGGTGATGGCGCTCACACCTTCTATCACATCGCCGATCTCACTCTGCACAAGGCCTCCCACAGTCACCTGCTCGATTATTTCCACTCCACATATCCACATTTGGAACAGGCGAGAACTGTGCTGCAAAAGCTATCGCAAAATACGATATCACGGAGAACCATCCAGCCTGCTTCATCTTCCCAGCAAACCATGACGTCACGCACGGCCGAGCGACGCTAACTCAGCGGACGTGGGCCGCTGGGAAGCCATCACCGGCGGGCAGCGTAAGACGGCGGTACGTACCTTGTGCCGGGCGGAGTCCTGCACCTGTACTCCATCCCGGAACCAAGAGAGCGTCGGCCGGGGGTCGGCCAGCACGCGGCACGCGAACGTCAGTCGCTTGCCGTCGGGCGCCTGCTCGATGGTCGGCTTCTTGGCGAACGTGGGCGCCAGGCCGTCCGCCTGGCTGTGAGGGGAGAAGGGCGTTAGCAGGCGACCCAGGGCGGGGCGCGGTGCCGGCGCCCGGTGGAAGGCACGAGGAGGCGACTGACCAATGCGGGTGACGGGACGCAGCTGTGCAGAAGCTCTCGACAGCCGCGCGGGTACATCTGGGCGGGAGTAACCGTCGGGAGGAAGAGTGGTCGGGCGGGCGAGCGTCATTCCACATTGGGAACAGGCGCACTAAGGTGACTTTGCAGAGAGGAAAGCCGTCTCAAACGAACATCACATCAGCAGTTATGTCATGACATTCTATGGTACGAACCAGGTTCCTGTGCACGTCGCCAGGTAAGACCATCAGTTTAATTACAACTACATTAATTGTGCTCCGAATGGCGAGCTTAACGTCCCCGTGATGTGCCCTGCTGCGGTCGTCCCGAGTTTGCTGCAAACGATAAACGAACTGATCAACTAGACGAGATTACAACATTCAAGCCCTTGGATGATGAGCGCTTATTATTTCGGCCCGGACAGGTTGCGTGCCAAGGGACGTACCATGCAGTCAGCTGAACAATCTCCATGATCGCGGGTATCCAGCATCCACTTTTTTCGTTGCCTCGTAACCACCAACAGAACATGAATTTGTTGCCATAGCAGACAGAATGAATGAAGGCCATCTCAGCAAAACAGGGTCTAAAGGGTCAGCATAACTACGCTGAGATAACAAGGTGTCGTCCGAATGCGTCAGCCATCAACAGGAAAAGAGCCAAGTGGCTGCCTGCTCAGCAGCGGCCGCATGCTATCTTGTTAGTACGACCTTCCAACGCCAGACGGCAGCAGCTATCGTCTGGTCAGCGGACTTGATGTCGTCTGTTCCGCAATGCTTGGTGACAACGCGGAACAGCCTAAGCCAGCCCACTGATCCGCGAGTGGGACGAAATGCATCGTGTGACAAAATTTATCGTCTAGCACAATAAATGCGAGCATAGCGAGCGAGCTGATTTCTTTAAATTCGTTGGGGAAATTCACGTTCTCCGAAACACAGCTCCCTGCCATGCTAAGCACATTTTAGTCAGTTTTTTGGCGGCTCGGAATCTAACTTGGCAGGTCATAAACACGTAGGGGGCTGTCCCGTTCGCACAAATAGAAGGCTCCTCAGTGTCCGTCAGCATCCACTCTCCATCACCTTTGCACAGGACTCCATGCACCCTTGCAAGCCTACGCGAGCAGGCGCGTTTGCGCGGCCAGCCGCACCGGCACCATACGCGGTCTCGGTCACCTCGGTTCCCACTCCCGCCCGCGCACCCGCAGGCTTCGGCGCCTCAGCAGCGAGGTTTCAGCGCTGGAAGGAAAAGTGGAAGCAGTTTGGCGCCAGAAGCCTTTCAGTTAACGCATGGGATGGAGCTACATGGTCTCTGTCTAACCCAGCATCTGTCTATTTCAAAGATATGTCCGGAGCTGGCAAGATTATTCGTTGGACTAACTTAATTCGTGTGACCAAAGTGAAGAAAAGGTAAGAGAAAAACACACATGTTGCATACAACCGCTGTCAAGTGTGTGTCAAATAACCATCATTACAAAGGTATTGCGCAAGTATCCCGACCCAGCCAGACTCCCCTTACGCACAGGAATTCCCCACCTACAGGGGTCCCTTATACTCTCGCAGTGGGGTAGCTGAAAGCGCAAGTCACATCTGGCATGTTGCATCGGTATGGAGCACAAACTGCACAGGCCTGCTGACATACGTGCGTCTATTATCGGAGCCGTGCCCCTGGTCATGTGAGGCGGCTGCTCGGCCGGTGACGTAGCTACCTGTCTTGTCAGAAATCATTGGTGCAGTCGGATTACGCAGAAGCATCTTTTTAAAGTGTGCGCGATGATCGAGTACGCATGGTATCGGCATATTGACTAACGCATTTCATCATCATCAGACCAAAAGGGACCAATGGGTCAACTGGTCCACTTCATCAAGTTTACAGAAAAAATACTCGTTGCTTGGCCCATTAGTGCCATCTATAGACACTTTCTCTCGGCTCTTCTCTCCCACGCTCCTGCTGGCAAGGAAGCCCTACACTTGACTGTTTCCCACTTCTCGGTCACGCCTGCAGACGTAAACACCGCGTTCCAACTACAACAGAACAGCCCTCGGCAATACACATTGCCTTCGATGCGACGCAATATCCTGGATCGTTTAACAAACAGAAAAGATCTGGAATATCTGGAACATCGTATTCTCATGACCATGTGGGGGACCGCGGGGGCGGCATCTAGCGTATATATTGTTGAGAGCCTCATGGCATAAGTACGCATGTTCAAATGAGAACCAAATGAATACGTCAGTGGGACTGTGAGCTGAGAAAGAGTGCACGCACAAGACTCGAACAGTTTGCAATAAGTAGTGAGATTGCTAAAATCGGTAACCATTTGGTAAAAAATATCCGGTCCGAGTTTCTCGAATATGCAATGAGCCGCTCCCGGCAGGTTCATCGAATTTGTGTATTCGTCTACTGGTAGATTGATTTAAAACCTTCTGGCGAACAATCATTTCCGCGCCGAGACCAGTAACTGAGTTGTATAGCGTCATAATGGAAGTCCGCACACAATTCGCGCTTACGCAGGCAGAGCTTTGCGGTGTGTTTCTCGCTTCGGATAGTTTTGACGCAATGTATCAGTCTCGCACGCACCACTTAGTGCCAATCATGCAATGCGATGTAACGCCAATTCATCGCAGGAGGTCATGAGGAGCAAGCCCAAAACTTTCGAACCAGAGCTGTCGTATCGCTGTTTCTTACGAGTCTATGCATCCTACATCCAAACCATCATCCAAATTTCAAAATTAATGGCCACGGAGTAGGCCATCGTAGGTCAGTGTAGGTCCTGTCGCACGGCAGAGCCAGACAGCCGTATCCAACGAGCCGACCTTACCTTCACCTGACTAGACCTTGCACGACAAATTTTGATGATGTTATAACATGTTCTGACGCGCCAAAGCAGAACATTTGTTTGTTCGATTCGGGATAAAAACTACATAACCATTGATATGTGTTCCAGAAGGTCCCGACAGTCGGAGAAATTGGAATAAGCGTGACATCGTCATGGTCTGCGATGATCACAGCTATATGAATAAGTAAAAAAATAAATAAAATAAAATAATTTTGCTTTTCCTTGTCGAGACTGACCGGAGCTATCCATCGTCATATAATTGCATTCAATCCGTCAACCAGTTCCTAAGATAACGAATGGAGCTTCTTTCACCCTTTCAGGAGGTCGCGGCTGGGGAAGAATCCAAGACGTGCCGGGTCACGAGACTGATGGTAGGTCATTATAGATCAGAGGTCAGTAAAAACGAGTAATTAATGGTCTACACGGCCGCGCAGAGCAATGCGAAGTGTTTGATGTGGCTGCAGCGGAGGATTATGAGGATATGGTAGGATGGGCATAAGCTACAATCAACCATTGTTAGGTGTAGGCGCAAAACATTCCAGAGACTCAAGGCATGCATCAGTTCCGCTCAGGCTAGGAGCCTGAGGTCGCTAATGGGTTCGCTGAGGCCAGTAAGGGGTTCGCTGAAGCCACTAAGGGGTTCGCTGAGGCCACTAATGGGTTCGCTGAGGCCACTAACGGGTTTGCTTATACTACTAAGGGGTTCGTTGAGACCGCTACACTAGTCTTTCGACATCAAAGGCATCGCTACAAAGTGCAGCCACTCATCAGTAGCAGTCGGCCGCGAATCTTCTGTGTCCGAACGCTTGAATGCATATCCCGGAAGTGCCAAGATCCCCATGATGATAAAGGGCTTCAGGCATAGTTCACACGTCACCACCCATGGTTGCCAAGTCACTTGGCTTATGATCAGTGCGACGGTATTTAGTTCAAAAGACTGGGATTTAGCCAGCACATCATAGATGATACTGCACTTGTCTTCACACCGTGCACACCTCCGGGTGCATGACTCTTTGCACGGACGACAGCAGACTGCGATGGACTGTCGCTGACGCCCCAAATACCGCGTTCCACGCCACGTCCCGAAAAATGTCTGAATGAAATAATTTGACCTCATGCAGGTAGGTCTTACAATGACTGTTTTACGGAAACTCTACGCCGCATGAGTCCCGCCTCAGACGTCTTTTGATCGAGCCAACTGCCCCAGGATCGCGCATGAGATCCTGGTCAGCCAGCGTCGCTTCACTCGCGGTTTGTTGACGCGCACGGGGCGCCGGCAGACCGACAGCTGCCTTGTAGCCCTGACTCAGCGGCGCCGGAGAGACCCACGCGGCTCACCACTGATATGACGTCATGAGGGGAACAGCAACAAAGCGGCGAAGCTGCCTGCGGTTTCTTTGTGTTCCGCTGCGAAGTCATCGCCGACATTGCCACATCAGTTCCGGCTGTAAGTATTGAACATTTTGCGAAAATGTGCCGGAGCAGCCTCGTAGCTTTCGCTGCGCTTAAGAGCGCTAGGTTCGCTGACGTGCACGGAGCGTTGGCAAACCGACAGCGGCCTTGCATCCCTCAGTCAGCGGTGGCGAAGAGACCCACACGGCTCACCTCTGGCATGATGTTATAAAAATAAGACCAGTGCATATATATATATATATATATATATATATATATACGTACACATGTGTTGTTAAATACCTTGGCGTAAGAGCATTTAAACTTAATGAGCTTTTCTGCACTTGCTCTAGTTTTCTGACTCCGGTTGTTTGTTTATCATAGACACTGAAATAAATTCGCCGATGTTTGGCATTTATTGGTTGGGCTGACGTTTTGAAATTACGTATTCCATCTTCGAAGGTATACAAATACAAAATATAAGCGACGAATATATAATTACAGATTAGTTAGGTACAATCAGTAGTGTACAACAATTCGACATTATCTTGTTTAGTTCGATCGTCGAATTGTGCAGATTTTAAATTATGTGGTTGACTTTTTTAGGATCTTGAGAATTTAAGCGGCAAAACATGTGGCGAATTGTAAGATACAACATCTACCGATGCCATCGATCGTCCCTTAATAGGGTGAGGGATGAATGTGGCCTTGGTTTGGTTGTTCACTTCGGTGGCGATGTTTTGATCGTGACAGCCTCCAGAACATAAAGCTTCCCCGATTTGATGATCATGTGATGATTATGGCTTTTCTGATGAGGTCGTCTCTGGTGATGTTCCAGCCGAGTGTTACCATGTGCTCTTTTGGAGCACCGTCAGCCAACTGCATCGTCAACCAGTTTGAAAGTGTGGTAGTGGTGACAATAAGATAGTATGATTGCACATTATGTTATTTAAATGGGTCAAATCTGGCCGTGAGATTATTTCTGTGATGAGCTGGGTGACCTTCCTGCTTTTTTAGTTGATAGTGAGTGTTGTCTTGTCCTGGTTGACTGGCTTGAGGTTGTCAGACGTTATTTCCTTGAGGATACGTTCGTCTGTCATATAGCTATCAGGCATTTGATTTTGATAGAGCAGTTTAATTGGATTTGGCTTATGTCCGATAGCGTGAGCTTCAGTTTGATATCGCGACATAAAGATGAGTTTCATGGTCGACACTATTGGAGTAGCCATTATTTTTCATGACTCGTTTGATGCGCTGTAGCTCACTGTATAGTTGCGTTGCGTCCAATCAGAGCAGAGTGTAAAGGCTCTTCGGAGGTAGGAGCGCACAACACTGATCTTGTACCGGTCGGGGCACTCGCTGGTGGCACTGAGGAATCGTCCAGCATCTACTGGCTTTTTGTACCTGTTGTCACGAATCGTTATTGGTCAGCAGTAATGTCTATGTCTAAAAATGGAATGCGGTTAGTGACTCTTAGTTCGTAGGTGAATGGGAGAACTGAAGCTTGTTCCGTCGCATTTTTGGTTCGATCAGTTGGCTTCCGTGACTGGCGTTAATAAAAACGTCAACGACATATCGTGCGTAAAATGCGGTACGGAGGGATGCATTTCGAAGGATACTGTTTTCCACTTGACACGTGGAGGCGTTGGCAAAAAGCGGTCCCAGGGAAGACCAAGGGGAACGGATGGTCCACGTCCCCCTGGGATCGCTTTTTGCCAACGCCTACATGAGCCACGACGTGGAAAACCAAGTGATGCCTCAGTGCCACAAGCCAATGCCCCAACCAGCACAAGATCAGTGTAGTGCGCTCCTACCTCCGAAAAGCCTTCACACTCTTCTCTGATTGGACGCAACTACACGTGCTTTCAGACGCCCACACCTGATCACATACAACATGATCGTTCGCTCGTTCGCTTTCAGACCCACATAGCTGTCACGTTTCACTCCTTGGCACCACAACAGAACAACGCCAAGGGCAACTGACCTTGGTTTTGATAATGCAGGCTCGTTGGCAATATTTGGCTTTCCGATGGATAGGGACCTCTCTTCACAGACCTTTCATGATTTTGCAATGCACGCGTGGGATGTAAATAATGATTTTGTCTCTGACGTACCCTAGTACGGCACACAAAACGCTGGCAAGTTATTCAAACTCGAGTCCGATGACCTCTCACAATCCATGGTAACTGATCGACCGCAGCACCACGCCCCTCTCTCAATGTACTTGTAATGTTAACCCCAATATGTTTTCACATATCCTGCCAAGTGCTAGTCTGTATCGAAGCTTATGATATCATTACGTGCTCAAAAGCAAACATATTGATCACCCAGCGATCGACATGCTTATAGTTTCAGCATCTGAGCAGCTGGTCCGTCGTTCTCAGCGATAAATTCATCGACATCGGGTTTCACGACAGGTGCAACTTATTGCGAAAGCACCGAACCCAGTGCCCCACTGGTCCAGATCGGGGGATAATTACGCCCCAGGCGTGGAGCCAAATGTTCCCGAGATAGCTCCAGCGGACCTTGCAGTGATACCGAGCGTAGAGGAACGCCCCAGGCAAAAACGTACCGATCGGCATCGGCTCCAACACGTGGATTGCGTACGCGACGTTGAAAGGATTCATAGCAAATGAAGGACGGAGAAACGTGTCAAACGTGTTAGAAGCGTATCAGGAACGTGATGGTGCGTTATTTCTCCGTCCCTGTATCTGGACGACAATGGCTATTCAAGGCGGAAAAAGTATTATGCCATGCAACGGATGTATGCGCTACGTTGGATGTGAACGAGAACGTCTGTTTCCTTAATACCAGATATTCGATTATTAGCAACGGCTGCAGGAGGTAAACCACAGAAGTTTCAGGGCAAGCTCAATCAAGACAAACATAGAAACGAAAATTGAAAGTAATTGAGGTCTGCCCAACGGTGGCATTGTCCCACGCCGCATCACAAGCAGAGAATATAGCGTTGGAACAATGCTGAAGAACCGTTATGGCACACTGAAGCACAGGCTGGAGATTCTAACACAAATCTCGCACGCCTAGGTGCCCACCATTCCAGTGCTTTAAAGTTTACATAAATTTCTTCAAGCCCTGACTTAAATGAAAACATGTCAGACGAACTAGAAATTTGTGTTGCCTGAATGCACATCAGTTGGTTTCAATCTGATTTGGTGGTCAATTCCGGCCCCCTCTGCCTTGCTTGCTGATCATCTTTCGTACAGTATTGTACAGTCCAAACCATTCATCTGGATTTCCGGACTGCTCACATCCGCGATAACTCCTGCCGGTCTGTCGCTTCGGCCGCCAGCTGCCGCCACCGGCACGCAAACCGCCGCCAGATGTGGTGGTCAGGCCGGCAGCCACCGCAGCTGAGGCGCCGGCCCTGCACCACCGCCAGATGTGGTGGTCAGACCGGCAGCCACGGCAATTGAGACGGCCGGCCCTACACCACCGCCAGATGTGACGGTCAGACCGGCAGCCACGGCAACTGAGGCGGCCGGCCCTACATCACCGCCAGATGTGGTGGTCAGGCCGGCAGCCACCACAGCTGAGGCGCCGGCCCTGCACCACCGCGAGATGTGGTGGTCAGACCGGCAGCCACGGCAACCCAAACGGCCGGCCCTACACCACCGCCAGATGTGGTCAGACCGGCAGCCACGGCAACTGAGGCGGCCGGCCCTACATCACCGCCAGATGTGGTGGTCAGACCGGCAGCCACGGCGACTAAGGCGGCTGGCCAACACCACCGCCAGATGTGACGGTCAGACCGGCAGCCACGGCAACTGAGGCGGCTGGCCCTACACTACCGCCTGTTGTGATGGTCAGCCCGGCAACCGTGGCAACTGAGGCGGCTGGCCTACACCACCGCCTGCTGTGACGGTCAGACCGGCAGCCACGGCAACTGAGGCGTCTGACCTACACCACAGCCAGATGTGACGGTCAGACCGGCAGCCACGGCAACTGAGGCGACTGGCCCTACACCACCGCCAGATGTGACGGTTAGACCGGCAGCCACGGCAACTGAGGCAGCTGGCCTACAGCACTGCCAGATGTGACGGTCAGGCCGGCAGCCATGGCAACTGAGGCGGCTGGCCCTACACCACCGCCGGATGTGAGGGTGGATCATTCCCACCGGAAATCAAGGCAATCTGCTCAACACTGCCGACAATAACGAGGACCAAACCTCAACACGGCCAAGTAGGGTGGCAAATTGTGACTACCGCCATCTGTATGCCAATCGAAGTGACGCGAGGTGGTACAGCAGCACCATTTCAGCCTGACCAGCCTGTGTTAGGAAACCGTGGTGAAAACAATGCCAACAAAATCATTACGCCTTTCAGGAGTCGTAGAGTACCTGTATGTCCTTATATAACCTATCGTAATTTTACCAGTGCTGGTGGATTTGGGAAGCTTCTCTGCCGTTTTCTTGAAGGCTTTTGTATGATTGGATAGAACGCAACCAAGCAAAACTAGTCTTTCCCTCCTGACCCACCATAGTCCTTAGAGGAGCCGCCGTTACTGATCCTCGCAAAAGGTCGAAGAACGCTTGCAACACTCCCGCACCATCATCGAATCCCTCAAGATCACATAGCAGGGCCTCCTACGGCTGATGGCATCATCACTCATATCGCGAGTGCAAAAGAGATGGTGTATTATTTGTGGAAAAAGTACACTCCATTGGCGTTATTTTCCACCCTTGTAATAACCACATACTAAACGGGACGGGAGAGTTCCCATCCCGCTACATAACCAGCTGCCCGTAGGCCTGCCCGCCAGCAAACTTTTCTCGTGAAGAGCTTCTTCAACACGTGGTTCCGCTGGAAGTCGTAAGCGTCACTGACAAACTCGGGGCGACGCAGGCTCACCAAACACAGCCTCTTCCACCTCTCGACCCGACCTCTGGCTCCCCTCGAGACAGACGCACCAGACGTGAAGCACCTGCCACCTCGGCCCAGGTCGCAGACCTCGCACGGGACTGCCCTCCTGGACACCAGCGCGCGCAAAACCGCTAGCTGTCCTTGGGATGGAGCTGGACCCGTCTCCTGGCCGCCCATCGCAACGCAGCACGCACAGCGCCGGCGACTATTCTACACACGAACGTGGGGCCGACAGGCTCTTCCACTTACTCGTCCTCCATGGACGCGGGCATCGCGCACGGCCGGTGCGCTCGGCCGGGGCTCGCTGTGCAGTCGGTCAGCAGGCGGACTGCCGACGCATATCGCGAAAGGTCACCGGTCGCGCGAGGTCAGCGGCAGCGCGGCGCCGGGGTCACCCACCAGTCACCCACCGACTGACTGGAGGCGCGCCTCGCCGCCGCCTCGCCAGCGCCCCCGGACCAGGTATTTATAAATTAGATACATGCTTCCAGGACGCGCTGCCAAATGGTGCCATAAGGCAGCGCCGGCGCCGACGCGGCACACAGGGCGACCGTCGGTGCGGTCGGCGGGGGGGGGGGGGGGCTGCAGGGGCGCGCTTGGGACGGGGGGCACGGGGGTGCACGGGTCTGTGGTGGATCTACAGAGAGGAAGAGAGAGGGAGAGAGAGAGAGAGAGAGAGAGAGAGAGAGAGAGAGAGAGAGAGAGAGAGAGAGAGAGAGAGAGAGAGAGAGAGAGGGGAGAGAGAGAGAGAGAGAGAGAGAGAGAGAGAGAGAGAGAGAGAGAGAGAGAGAGAGAGAGAGAGAGAGAGAGAGAGAGAGAGAGAGAGAGAGAGAGAGAGGAGAGAGAGAGAGAGAGGGTGAGGGGGTTCATGATCCAAAGGTGCTCGAGTCCAGACGGTGTCGGAAGGGCACATTCAGAGTGAACTTAGTGCTTCAGGAGGCGCTTGCGCCGCCCGTGATCAGTGGACAGCTCGTCTCCACGATCGAGTAGCTCGACCTACTGCTGCATGGACCAATGGCCGCCAGAGAACAGTGATCTTCGTGACCAAAGAACTAAAGCAATTCGACAACGACAAAACCGTTGAAACATAACACCTGCTCCTCAGGGCTAACGGCTTCCCAACCCTTCGCACCCCTCTGGACGTCAAAGCTATCTAAACCCTGGTCTGAATGGTCTCAAAAGGTACAGGATTTCGGGCATTTTAAGTATCTTTGGAGCATTTTGTGGTGCAGTCGGTCAGCAGGCGGACTGCCGACGCATATTGCGTGAGGTCACCGGTCATTTGGTTGCTGCGTGTTTTGCACAGCCTCTGGCCATCTAAGCGATGAAATGAATGTTTGCTAGCAGGATGAACAGTAATAAGTTAGCTGGTTGAATTATACAGCATCTGTTGATCACCTCGGAGTCTTTTCACGGTCTTGGATATCTCTAATCATCTTGAGGGCCCTTGCAATTACCTGAACCCAGCTATCGGATAAGCAGCAGTCCTCCGAGCTGTTGCTGCGGTCTGCCAATTTCAGGCATTTAGTAGTCTTTCGTTGCACCTTTACAGTTTTAAGAGAGTCGCGAGAAGATCAGAAACCATCTTGCTGTCCTTCCGCACACTGCAGATTCCTCTGACCGTGTTGGAGCCCAGACCATATCAAAAGCCTTAGGTTGTGTCTGAACAGCCTTGCCGCAAAGCGGAAGACTGTAGCCGGCTGGCACGTTACGACACACGAACCTTACAAAGCATATGATCGAACGTTTTTCGTTTTTTTCTGGCCATGTCACGGATCACATGACTTTGGCTGCTTTTTTACTTATCCATTTTGGAACGCTCTGGCTGCTGCAGACCTAGTCAGTTTGGGCGCATTCAACCGTCTTGCGGTTCTCTTTACGTTTCCAGCCGGTGACCGCACCAGTGTTCTCCACGCGCATTAGGGGATTTCTTTGCTTTCATGAATTTCTTTGCTGTTTGGGAACCTCTTGACCTTCCCTGATCTCGACTGTCTTGATGACCAGTGGCTTGGCCGTGCGGCTCTTGACAAGGTCGGCGGTAATTCGTGACCTTGGGACTCCTCACCTTCTCAACACTCCATGGCGGTCAGGTTGCTGTCGACTTCCTCCGGTACTTTTCCTTATTACGCAGTGCTTACTTAACCTCAATCCCAATGTACGAGATGTCATGCGAAAATTTCAGATGTTTTTGCGGCGTTTTTACAGAGAATATGGCGTACGACAAATATATAGGACAATTAAGGACAAAACATCAAGGACAATATGGCTTCTGTTTTTCGCTTTCCTGTCTTAACAACTAAGCGTGTGGGTGAAACCACGTCACTGAAATTGGTGGGAACAAATCAGGATTGGAGAGTTCAAATTGAAGTCGGGGAATAGCCTAACACTAATACCCTAATATTGCATTTTGAATGGAAAAAGTATGGAAAAAGTACGGGCAGAATCAGTGGAGAAAAAACTCCGTCTTGGGAAAATCGTGGGCATGGGTGTAATCACATCTCTAAGCTCGGCTGGTAGTGGTGGTGGTGGTGCTCGGGGATCAGAATTACGGTGGTTAAACTGGAGGCACACTTTACAAACTGGAATGCGGAAGGCACACCCTATCTTAAAGTGATATTTTGAACAGGAAGACGTAAAAATCGTGCATTTTACGAGGAAAATGTGTGTGGGGGAGGATAAAAACTCACTTTGTGAATACTGCGGGGGCATGTCCTTCCCAGCCTAAGCACTTAACAGATTCGATAGAACACTTCATGAACAGGGGCGTCTTGGATTATATGGACTCTTATCGAAGGCTTTGTTGGCAAATCTGTAAATTTAGCGAGTTACTTCAGTCGTTATCATGCCAACACCTAAATACTTACGATGATGCCAATTTCACATCAAGCCTTTCGTTGTTCTCTATAAAAGCCAAAGTGGTTCTCTGGCGCTTCATCACCACCTACCGGCGCTTAACAGATACTACGGTGGGGGTCAGCTTGACTTTCGCCGACCATCGTTTTATAGGCTAATTTCCTGAGGTGGCGGTGTAGCCGCGCCAACTTTGGCTGGCTGTAGACAACTGAATAGCTGAGCCGCCCTTTGGTATTACAAAATCACATATACCTTATAAGGCCCCTGAAATACGGTGGCTCAAGCTAGGCCATGGCTGTCAGCGAAATCAATTTCCTCACAAATCGTTCAATTTGATGTGACAACGGAGCGTGAAATGAATTCATACACCTTTGAGGTAGTTTCTTGGACAGGTAGACATTTGAACTTAGAATTACGACTGCTTCCATTGACCCTGAGTTAAGTATAAGATATCGGATTAAGGTCAAAACCAAACCACTTTATGTATTGCGGGAAAACTTGTTTTATGGGCTAGCTTTAATGTTCATCACAAACTTCTTTGTCACAGGGACGTCACAGACATCTCATTTTGATTTCCCCAAGGAAGGTCATTGACCTTAAATAACCCCCTCAGCTTTTGCTTTGCGGAGCATGCCGCCTGTCGTAGTTCTTAACGGTGATCTTAAATTAAGATATCAGAACAACCGATAAGGTTTTTGGTCACCTGGAACTTATGAAGGTCAAGTAGTGTCATTGTGCTGACATGAACACCTGATATACCTGATAAAGACATGCACTTTTGACTTTTTGCTTTACAAAAATTATAGGTTTAATGTGGTTGCATGAGCAGATCTGAAACACTTCGGGCACCGATCTAAAGTTTGACCTTTCTTGACCTTCATTTACCTGAAGGTCACGGTAAAGGGGCCTCAAAATTGGGCATAGAAAGAGTTTAGATATCTACCTAGCCCGCGAACTTCATGCCTCTATAGCTCTCTCAGTCGTTGAGATTTCAGGATGGGGCCAAATTGACCCCCACACCTCTTCGACCTCGTCGCTTTCAAGAGGCTACCTGTGATCGTGTTAAATATCACACTATGCCTTATCTAGTTTGGCATAGCTACACAGAAGCCACCACTGACCGCTTAGGGCATCTACCAACGATGGGACAACCACACGCGTTTTAGACCACGAGTGGCGAATGTGGGTTCCTAACCTCCCCGTAAGACCTCTCCCTACGGGAGTTTTTCACCTCCGCTCTACGAAGAGGGTCTCGGAGGCTTCCTGAAATCTTGAACGTTAAGCGTGCTAGAGCCACAGGGGAACGTGGGGCACATACGTGGGCAGAACGACTTTGTAAGCTAGTCACGCGGCCAGCTGGGATGTCACTGTAATTTGTTCCAGTCATGCATGGACTTTTAGGATATTTCAAACAGCTCTCCAAAAAGCATGATTCAAATGACAGTTCCAGTAGCCGTTGCTTTTGCCACATTATTCGACGCATTATTTTGCCCCACAAAATCGGCTTGGAGGTCCGATAAAGAAACGATACGTTGAGCTGTGGCAGTCAAGTAGAAAAGGTTGGAGGGCAGTTTTTTTACCTTACGTCACACAGCGGTACAACACTTCTTAAGCAGGTAGCGGATGTGCACAGATAAAGGTGGGATCATATCGGATTTTGGGGAAAAAACATGACTATTTTAGATGCCGGCATAGAGTTTGGAGCCGGTTTTTAGATGCCGGTATTTTAGATGCCGGTTTGGAATTGAAAGCCTGCACATGCATACACGCAAAGTGATGCTTGCATTGAAAACTAACGACTTGGATCGAAATATTCGGCTCGTTGCAGGAACAAGAAACTGACAGCTTTGTTTTGTTAGCCTCACCCACTCGAAACAAACGACGGATATTTACTGGTCACGCTATCTGTCAGCGGGCGGCACTCAGAACATCCAAAGTAGTAATTTAATAAAAGCGAAGACTTAGACATGCAGAACACGCGGGAACGGTCGAAGTGGGAACGAAGATAAACACTAGCACAATACACTGGGGAGGGATGAGCTAGTCCATACTACGTGCTATGTCACCATAAAAGTATCATGATGTATGATGTCTCTGGACCATATACACAATGAAAAAATACTCGCTAAAGCGTTTCGAGGAAATGAGCTCTCTACAAGTTTTCACAATGATCCCTGAAACAACAGCCTTACAGAACGTTTTTACATTTTCACCGATTCATAGGTGTTTTGTTTGCAGAAGGGGTCGTGCCATCTCTTTGATAGTGGATCTTCTGCAGGGCTGGTTTTGGCCCGCCCGGGAGGCCGGTTGAATGCCCTCCGCTCAGGGGGGTCAATTTGCTCCCTGAGATCTCAAAGTTAAGAAAGCTTAATACGCCAAATGCGCAGGGGCTTGGCATGTATGAAGGTAAAAACAGATGGAATAATATTAAACTCCAGATTGGCGTCCAAAGTACCCCCAATCCTCCTCACGCAACTGCCTTGAACCTAAATGCCTGTTCTAAGCAAAATATCGCTGGTTTGAATTTAGGTTCAGTGACTTGGTCTGAATT